AAAGAGTGCCTAAAATCCTTCCTCTCGTTGTCAGTGCTAAATGAAACGGCTCGGAAATCCGACATAAGCGCTCGGGTCAGTGTGAAGACAAACCCTGAGGCGCCGAGATTCACCAAATGAATATGAATGACGCAGGTCAACTGCCCAGTAAAATATGGCTGCAGGGGACCAATAAACTTGGGAAAATTTTCGCAGGATGAATAATACCGTGGAAAAGCCATCTGGGGAATGCGAGGGGAGCTAGATTGCTCCATTATAAAGGGCTAAAGCTGTGCTGAATGTGCGAGCGCAAACTGCCCTCACAATTTCAACAGGGGACGAGTGGCGGCCTCCTCCCTTGGAGTCCTCCCGATCAATTTACAGATAAATAACCTGTCTGTCTTCAGCATCTTCACACACACACACACACAGTCCAGCCTCCAGAGCTGATCATATATCACAACACAAAGTCCTGGGATCACGATTTGCGCTGTCATTGGATGATCCGGTCGGTCCGTAAAGCCGGGTTGACCTGTGTGCTTCGGACAGATAAGCCCAGCGCTGTCACGTCGTGCTGATGCCTGTATTGTTCTGCTTTCTTGAATGGGTTCAGTTCAAGCGGCTGAATGCAAGAGAATACCTGATTATAATTCTGAAGCTGACGCTCCCTGTGTAGAGGATCAAGCCACGTTACACATGGTATTTACTGACAGTGAATCATTTTTGTCTGAGAGCACAGCTTTTTAAATGTAGCCTACAAAAAGAAATTTCATTTCGTCACCTCACCTTGCATTTTCTTGCCTTTATCAAAAAAATTGTAACATGAGAGGTTAAAATGTTACTGTAAAACAAATGAGTTTTTACTTATTTCACTCAAATATGACTGAAAGTTCATTGTACTTTATTGAAAAGGCTGAACTTAAAGTGAATGAGTGCAGCAGTGGTCTAGTTTCCAGCATGCTTTGCGTCAGATGTTAAAATTAAGTTGTTGTTTTTTCTTCACAAGATTACTATAGGCCTACTTCATTTAAATAATTCATTTTGATTTAACATCGTTGAATTAGGTTAAACTGACTTGAAACGGTTACTCTTTGGCTTAAAGGGATAGTTCACTTTGAAATTAATTTTTGGTGTGTTTTAGCTTACCTCAAGGGCATCCAAGATGTAGGTGTCTTTGTTTCCACAGTAGTTTCAATTTTGATATTTTTAGGTCAAACCGTTCTTGTCTGTCAGTCATATAATGCAGGTCTATGGTCACCACCTCAAAGAGCATGCACAGAGAAGTCCAGATTAAACATGATTTAATGACTCGTAAATGTAAGTACACATTGATGGCCTAAGACACCAAACGAGCGGTTTGTGTGAGAAAACGAACAGTATTTATATCGTTTTTACCTCTTGTAAACACAGCCACGTCCAAGTGATCTGAGGGCGCCGGCACTTCGTTCTGTGCGTTACAAGAGGTAAAAACGATATAAATACTGTTCGTTTTCTCACACAAACCGCTCGTTCGTGTCTTAGGCCATCAATGTGTACTTACATTTACGAGTCATTAAATCATGTTTAATTTGGACTTCTCTGTGCATGCTCTTTGAGGTGGTGACCATAGACCTGCATTATATCACTGACAGACAAGAACGGTTTGACCTAAAAATATCAAAATTGAAACTACTGCGGAAACAAAGACACCTACATCTTGGATGCCCTTGAGGTAAGCTAAAACATAGCAAAAATTAATTTCAAAGTGAACTATCCCTTTAACTTAATGTTTTCATGTTGGGAGAATGTTTCAGTATCTCGATTAAATATAGAAAACAGGATTTCCATTTCCCATGGAGCTTAATTGGGAGAGTAAATGTTGGTAGAAAGGAATATTTTATGTATTTTAAGCAAAAATGGAGAGACTTGTTATTGTTCTATTATGTTGATATTTAAAAAAGTTACCATTTAATAGCCTAAAAAAACCAAAACACCTATAGGAAATGTCATGGATGTAACCAGCACTATCTTTTGGTTGCCAAAACCAAAGTTCAGCGAAAGAGTTTTTTGTGTAAAGCTAAATTTAATTGAAGTTAACAAATTCGATTTCAGATATAAAGCAGCTGCTCAGCAAAAGACAACATTATTCATCTTAATTTAGTTCAATGATTCGGTTCAGTAAATGTCGATGTTGCAAAAACTCATCGACTATGAAACACGTTTGATGCAGCTCTACAGAAGACAATATTATTCAGATGAAGTTTTGTTCTCGTCTCATAGTGTCAGAGCAGTCAAATCAATACAGCTGGCACATCGAGTGCCAATGGATAGAAACAAAACACGGAAACAACAGTGACACAACAGTAAATATAGGCGATCAATAAAGATAAAAACAGAACTGTGTGATTGATTAGATCAGATTTATAGGCGATAAACCTCAGCAGAGATAGTATATCATATCTGTGTGATCAGCTATTGTGTTTAATGGGAAGTACTTGTGTCTTTAGTAGCCAATGCTCGAATACAATAAAGTGCTGCAGTCTGAACTAAATATTCAAGTGGAAGCGACACTCTCATTTGATCTCGAGTTTAAATTCAGCTTCATTTTCTGGATTTGCCATTCCAAATTAAGAGCAGACCCACACACACACACACACACACACAATATTCAGCACAGATCAATAGATATTTCAAGCTCTGTTTGAGCGCGCGTGTGTGTGTGTGTGTGTCACTACTTTGGAGGGTATTTACATAATTTTATTCCTGTACTCCCCCATAACCTGAGTGTGAGCCAGTATCCATTTGTTAAAAGCGGCTGCCCACACACACACTGCACTGGATGGGCTGCGATCGTCACCGGCCTCCCACACAGCGTTATATAAAACTAACAGCGTCTCTTCGCAGGAGAATGAACGTCAGCAAGTGACTTCTCAAAGGTATCAACCAATTTAGAGAGAAGGCCGGGAAGCAGAGGCTGCCCTCGCCCAGCTTTCTTCTACCGTTCTTCTCGGGATCGTTTGGAAGTGCTCTGTGCCGGGTTGGTGGTCGGCTTCGGACCATGTTAAACTGTCAAAAGCAAATGGATTTGGTGCAACTCGACAGGGGAAAAGGCTCGGAAAGCGTTTCCACAGATCAAGGCTATCTGGTGCAGTTAGGGTTAGAGCGGCGGATCTGAAGATACACCTGTAAAAATAAACTGATTTAGTGCTCAAACAGACACTCTTAAAGGGATAGTTCACCCCAAAAATGAAAATTATCCCATAATTTACTCCTTCAAGCCATCATAGGTTTATATGACTTTCTTCTTTCAGCCAAACACAATCAGAGTTATATTAAAAATAGTGCGTTACGATACCCTCACGATTCGATACATATCACGATACTGAGCTCACGATACCATATTATTGCGATACTCCAATGTTGATTAAAATGCTAATTTTGGTTTTACAATATGGGCATAAATGAATAGGCTTGGACTTGGTGCTGGAAACCCAAAGCACAGAGACACCAGAATAAAAATACTCATGATTCTGAAGCTGAAAATACTGAATTATTTTAGACGAATTTGATTTCACTCTGACTAGATGTATTTAAAATTATGTAAGCCACTTTTTACAGGTAACATCAGACATTTGGTATTATCTGGACACACAAATATTCCCCCATTGCATTATTATACATTATATTCAACATTATATATAGAAGTTTAATGTAGTACTGACACGCTTTATAACGGGAGTGAATAGAGCCTGAGTTTCTCCATACGGTAACCCTGGAGTAATCCATATGGCTCCAGGGGGTTAATAAAGACCGCTTTTTAAAAAGAAAAATATCCATATGTATAACTATAATCACTGGCTTCCAGTAACGGACGCTCTTCCGCCTGAACTAGACTTGTATACGACCGTTACTGGAAGCCAGTGATTATAGTTATAAATATGGATATTTTTAATAATAAAGGTTCCAAAAGTGGGTTTTCACAGCGATGCATTAAAAAAAAACATATTTGGTTCCACAAAGAACCTTTCGGTGTTTTCTTAGTGTGAAGAACAAGTAAAAATCTGAAGAACTTTTTTTTTTTACTCTAAAAAATGTAAAAGGTTCTTCATGGAACCACTGATGCCAGTAGTTAGCATATATGTGACGTATTAGGTAAGTTAACAAATAAATGCTGAAATATTTTCCCAGTTTGAATGCAGAATACTTTAATTTTCCTGTAGCTCAAACAGTAGATCATGGCACTAGCAACACCAGGCTCATGGGTTTGATTTCCAGGGAAAGCAAGAACTGTAAATGTAAATACATACGTTGAATGCAATGCACTTTGAACAAAGCGTCAGCCAAATGCATAAATGTAAATGTAACATTTTATAACATAATAAAAAAGGTGAGTTTAGAGTTTTAGCATTTGAGTTTATTGTTACAAGCAAAAGTAGCACTCAAACTACATTAATATTCATTTGGGGGGAGGGGGTTAAAAAGACACTTAATGTTATTGATCTAACTGCATTAACACTGTCAGATGAGAACTTGAACTAAATTGAGCTGAATAATGACACTATTGTCTTCCGTGGAGCTGTTTATAACGTTTAATAACTGATTAACTTTACACAATTATTGAACTGAACTGAACTGAATCAACACTGAACTGAATGAGCTGTATAATGACACTATTGCTTTTAGAGCTGCTTTACAGCATAATTTACAGCTCATATTTAACTACATATAGGCCTATGCATTATTGATTCTGTTATTTTCCTGAAGCTGGTTTTAAACAATCTGTATCATATAAAGAGGTAGCTATAGAAATAACTGTGACTTGACAAATGAGGAACACAACAAGCATGGTGTGGTTATCTACCTCCAATTACCCACATACATCACGGGAAAAAATCACAAAAATTAGCATAAACATGCCAACACCCACTCATTCTCCACTCATGTGCGTCCTTTCTACAGCTCCTGCTGATATTTATAGAGCCCTTGCGTTTACGCCCGCCTCTCATGTCAACACTGTGAAGTGATTGGCTCTCGATCGGAAATAGACTGCTCTGATTGGACCAAACGAGGTGTCCGTCAACGTGTTCCACGCCGATCTCCTCAGCGGTCGCTCCTTTATTTTCCACAATAAATGACAACAAACACTTCCAACATATTAGCATTACCGTCCACAAACGACACGCTTTAACGGAACCGGTAAGAATATGTTTAGACTTGTTTTTGGTGTAAGTTTATAATATGGACAACGACTGTATGAGCGGCTGATTATTAGCAAGTCTGCTAACGTTGTATCGGCATTAGCTGGTTAGTTAAGACAGCTCGTTTTAACAAATAATCTGACTGTACTAATCCTTTATATCGTGCGAATAGCTCGGGTTAGTTCATGTTGTGATTTTACTGCTACTGTAAATAAGTGCGCCATGTGTTTCATTGAAACCGGTGTCTGACTGAACTCAACAGGCCTGTGATTTTAAGTGATTGACATGTCACACGAATACGTTCACTTTTCATATTTACTGATCTGGATTAATAGATTTTGTTTTGAAATTACATTTTGGCTTCTTAAATGTCAAAGTGCTGTCAAATACACATCTTATTATTGACTGTCTATTAGCAGCACAGCTAACATGCTAACTGTTGTCAATGAGAGATTCAGTCAGAGTGAATGACAGATATTATTATTAGCAATGCAGTATTTGACTAGATAAGGTTAAATATGGTTTCTGTTTAGTCACAGTTGTTTATTTTGCATCTGATTAGCCTTGTAATATGGAAGCCCATTTCCTCCACATAAGAAAAATAGCTTTGGTTTAAAATAATTAGGCTACATATGAAGTCATATTTTTTATGAGATGATTGAGAAGAGATTTATCAAACAGCTAATAAGTGACACGAATTGTTGATAGTGACTGTCTTGTGGTCAACGTCCCTCAAAAGCCTGATGGATCATAATTCATACTCCCATTTAATTTTTTTGAAACAATTATGTATAGATCATCAAGTATACCGAAGTTGCTTCAATCAGTGTGTGTTTAACTTTAAATATTACTAACAATACAAAAGTTATTCTTCTGGTAACTTTATAAAATCAGTACATATTTTTTTGTGAACCATGGCCTGAAGGTGATTTTTTTCTTTTTCTTTTTTTCTTTCTTTTTTTTCAATGATACTAAAAGGCCTTTTACTTGGAAATAAGACTTACTTGGAATCAGAATACAAAAGGCATTTAGTAGATTGTGTCCAACAGGTTTTTCAGCAGTTGATCATGTTGATATAGAAGCCTTAGAAATGAATGGATCCAATATAATACAGTATATATTGCATTAAGACTTTTATATCCAATTTCTTCTGAATTTTTTTATTGGTTATGTCACAGTTTGTACCATTTTCCAGTGTTTGGCAACTGTTCAACATAAGATTTTGTAATGAGTGGATGAGTTGAAACTAGGTGTGTTAAAGGGTTAGTTCACCCAAAAATGAAAACTCTGTCAGTAATTACTCGCCCTCATGTTGTTCCCCGTAAGACTTTCGTTCATCTTCGGAACACAAATTAAGATATCTTTTATGAAATCTGAGAGCTGTCTCACTCCTCCATACACTGTAAAAAATATTTTAGCAATTTAGTTATTTCAACTTATTTTTTTGTGTAGAGATAACTAGATTGTCCAGACAACAAGACATTTTAAGTTTTCTTGTCCTCAACTTATCGAAATAAGTTAGCTAAACTAAAAAAAAACCATGCAAAAAGATAACACAAAATAATGAGTTAAGTTTTTTTACAGTGTAGGCTTCTAAGGGAGCGAAACTTGCCAGCCCATAAGTTATGAAAGACATCGTTAAAATAGTCCGAGTGACTACAGTGGCTCAACCTTAAGTTTATCAAGCGACGAGAATACTTTCTGTGCGCAAAAAAACAAACAAAAAATAACGACTTTATTCAATTATTCATTTCCTTCTCTGTTTGCCTCGAGATTTCACGTAGTGTAACAGCGCAAAGCTTCTAGGTTGTACGTAACGTCACAGCATCACACACATGACCAGCGTCGGCCAATCGTGAGCCTATGTGTGAGGAACAACCCAGAAGCGCTGCGCTGTTACACTACGTGAAATCTCACGGCCCACAGAGAAGGAAATGAATAGTTGAATTAAGTCGCACAAAAAGTATTCTCGTCGCTTGATAAACTTAAGATAGATAACCTTACTATTTTAACGATGTCTTTAATAACTTTTCTGGGCCGGCAAGTTTCAATCCCTTAAGAAGCCTATGGAGGAGTGATCCAGCTCTCAGATTTAATACAAAATATCTTAATTTGTGTTTCGAAGATGAACGAAATTCTTACGGGGAACAACATGAAGGTGAGTAATTACTGACAGAATTATCATTTTTAGGTGAACTAACCCTTTAAATAAGGGATCCATCATAAGGCTGTAGCTGTCAAGTGCACTTAGTAGTGACGTAATGGACACAGGACACACATCGACTTAAAGCCGATTTGCAAATCTGCCTTTAAACACAGGGTGATGTTTAAAACAAGTGAGGGTGGCATATGTGGCGTTTTAGTTGGAAATATAATTACCATTTGGCAAAGAGAGGAGAAAAACGAGTTTTCAGTCTAGAGCCATGTGCATGATATTGCTGCAGTCTTATCACATTATAAGTGCTCTTATCAGCAGTATTGTTCTGCGGTGTTCCTCCATGGCCTGTATCTGTCAGCGGCTGATATTAATAGTGTGCTGGTGATATATGAGCTCTGCTGAAGAGAACTGAACAACACATGTACTGTAGGTGCACATCACCCCACGGGACCAACTCACCCGAGAGCCGTCGGCCCCGTGAGCCGCCTTCATGAACCGTTCAGAAACATCCAGAGCCAGAACTGTTTTAATCAGTAGGTTAGGATCGTCACATACAGAAAACCTCACTGGGATTTGAGGATACGTCCACACTAGCGTTTTTTCCAAAGTTTCTCATCCAAACCTAAACACGCTGAGGCTGTGTCTGATATCGCCATTCACTATTCCCTACATTAGTCCACTAATATAGTTCACTTGAAGGAGTGAATGTAAACAAGTGAGTGCATTCGGACACTAAGTCCACCGGAAGGGCTGCCGATATAATATAAGGGTGGGCGATCTATCATCTTATAACAAACAATCACGAGCCGAATCACGATCTTTTGAGATACTATTGAGAATATCCAGACTGGAACAAGCCTATGGACTTAATCTATTTGCACATTTTAAAACACAGCAGTATTAAATTGTAAAAAATATTCAGTTGTCACAATAGTCATTAAACCTTGAGTTAAACTTTCAATCATTTTATCCCTTAAAACTCACCTTTGATCACCAAAATGACATATTTAAAAGTTTTTTCCTTGGAAAAAACATTCGTCGACGATCACACGTTGATCTGATTGGTTACAAGGTCGTTTGTGACGTCAGAAACACCAGCGATTTCAAACCGTGTTTTTGAGACTGTCTTTGGTTCACTGCAGTTTTAAGCAGAAAATACTCAGCAATGCTGTCGACTTATGAATTTACACATGGTTTGTCTTAAAAGCATATTAAAAACACCACATACACACATAAACAGCTGGATTTTCACCACAGGAGGACTTTAAAACACTGCATAGTCTTCACTGTATGAATTAAATAATAATATACATTGATCCTTCTTATTAAAACTACTAAAGTTATTCAGTCAAGAGCAGTGAGTGGAAGCCAAAATCAAAACCGAAAACTAAAACTTGATTAATCGCAGAGCCTTACTACTATTAAATTGTTTTTCAAATGCATCACCACGCATAAAAGAAACATGATAGAGACACAAGATATAATTTGGCCAGTCATACTAGTTGAATCTATTTATACAGTCAATCTCCAAGCTCTTCCCCGTTTTAGATGTGTTTTGTCAGTCCTCTCTCTCATTTGTAGCTTTGGAAAGTCTGATTTATTCTATTGAATCTCTTTGTTCGGAAGGTTCTTAATTAACAGATTCACCTATTCCCAAATATTCTAGCAGTATTCTATAGTTTAATTTTATTTAAAAGCTAGCATATAGTTCAAGTAGATACTAGGGATGTCATCAGTGATCCGTACATAGTTGGAAAGTTTATCCATTCGTAGAGTGATAGTTTATCAATCGCACGTGTTTCTAACTCTTTCCAAACGAAACATTCAAGCAATTTTAATCCATTCAAGCGCAAGAAGAGGCAAAAAATAACTCGGTTTGGAAATCACATGCTGTTTTTTTGTGCGCACACACTCAAAGCAAGTCCTCTTTCACGCCACCTCGCGCTTGAATGGACACATACACACACAATTATTTAAAAATACCCATCTCGACAATTATTCTCATAAACCCAGACGGTTGTGTCTCAAGTAAACGTAAACAGCTGAGAAAGAATATGTCGATATATATTGGATCCTATAAATACCTGCTGCCATTATAATGTTCATCAAACAGCAAAACACACTTTAACAAAGTTTTCATTTATACAGTGAACACTATGCAGTGTTATTTTATACCTAATTATTACATTTCTGTACCTGAAAGCTATTGTCAGTTAGACCTTACTTTATTTATAACTTTTGTTGTATTTATCTATTCTTGTATTTTGTGTATTGTTATTTAATTACTGACTGTTCACTTCAATAATGTAATTGCTTAAAGGATTAGTTCACTTTAAAAAAAACTTTTGCTGATAATTTACTCCCCCCCATGTCATCCAAGTTGTCCATGTCTTTCTTTCTTCAGTCGAAAAGAAATTAAGGTTTTTGATGAAAACATTCCAGGATTTTTCTCCATATAATGCACTTTGCTGGGCACCAAACGGTTCAAGGTCCAAAAGACAGTTTCAGTGCAAACTGCAAACTGTTCAAAGGGCTTTAAACGATTCCAGACGATGAATAAGGGTCTTATCAAGCGAAACGATCGCTCATTTAAAAAAGAAATAACAAAGTTTAAGTTTTATAAGCTCAAATGCTCGCCTTGCTTTGTTCTGTGTGACTCTCCTGTTCGAACTCGTTCATCAAAATGAACGAATCTTTTTCCGAGTCAATTCGTTCATTTCGTTCGTTAAATGCATAGACAGTATAAGAAGTGGACAGAGCCATCTCATTGGAACATTTTTAGCGATTTTTGAGCACTTCCGTTCCTGACGCGCAGACTCAAACCGACTCAAACTAAGCTT